ACAAAGAACCCAATTAAGAAATGGGCAGAGGAGCTGAATAGACACCTCTCCAAACAGGACATACAAATGGCCAAGAGACATATGAAGAAATGCTCAACATCACTAATCATCAGAGAGATGCAAATTGAAACAACAATGAGGTATCACCTCACACCTGTCAGAACGGCCTCCATCAACAAATCATCAAACAACAAGTGTTGGTGAGGGTGTGGAGAAAAGGGGACTCTAGTACACTGCTGGTGGGAATGCAGACTGGTGCAGCCACTGTGGAAAACAATATGGTGTTACCTCAAAATATTAAAAATTGAACTTCCTCTTTTTTCATTTAGAGGCTTGTATCTCTCTTACTTATTGAGGTAGAGTTTTATTCTGGATGCTTAAGCTGCTGGAAGTCTACTACACGAAAGAAATGACTGCATTGTATGTTTCATCATTTGAATACCTAGAGTCTTCTTGGTTGTTTGGTGATCTGTGGAAGAAGGGTTGTCAGTTGATTTTGCAATAATTTATTCATCTCTTAGCAATGACTTCCTGGCTCTAGGTCTGTGTAGTATAATATGATGTGGTGTGGCACCTGGCCAAGTAGCTCAGCTGATTAGAGCTTTGTCCCAGTGTGCCAAATTAGTAGGCTTGATCCCTGGTCAGGGCACACACAAGAATCAACCAAAGAGTGCACAAATAAGTCAAACAACAAATCAATGTTTCTCTCTCTCTCTCTCTCAAATCAATAAATATAATAAATAAATAAATAAATAAATAAATAAATAAATATTTACTGTGCCCAGCGAAACAGAAGATGAGCCAGATGGAAACTTAATTTTGAATTCCTGTGTTGTACAAATTAACATGTCAACTTCAAAATCAGTCTTTCCCTAAATACTGTTTTGATTCATAGGAAATATGATCCAGTGTATGGAATAGTTGAAGTATAAAATGACTAGAAAAAAAGTAGTCAAAACTCAGTGAAATAATATTTTTAAGGAAAATGCAGAGTCCAATGAAATGTTATTAAAAGTCAATGAAAATATTAAAGAAAACATAATTACCAATAGTACCATGGATTCAAACAGCTATTATTTTATAAATCTTACCACATTTTCTTATGAATGCCTGATTAATTTTCACCTCCAACTGTGTTTTGAAATGATCATTTTTATTGTTTGCACTTGTTATTACAGGCATAGCTTGTTTTATTACACTTTGCAGATGTTGCATTTTTTTACAAATTGAAGGCTTGTGGCAACCCAGAGCTGAACAAATCGATGGGTGCCATTTTTCCAACAGCATTTTGCTCACTTCATGTCTCCATAATTCTGGTAATTTTGGTAATTCTTGCAATATTTCAGAGTTTTTCCATTATTATTTTTTTTATGGTGATTTGTGATCAATGATCTTTGATGTTAATATTGTAATTATTTTGGGGTGCCACAAACTGTATCCATGTAAGACAGAGAACTTGATAAATGTTTTGTATTCTGACTGCTTACCCACCTAGCCATTTCCCCATCTTTCGCCCTCTCTTCAGGCCTCCCTATTCCCTGAGACACAACAATCTTGAAATTATTAGTAACCTTACAGTGCCTCTTACGTGTTTGTGTTTGAGGGAAGAGTCCATTGGTATTGCAAATTTCATTGTTGTCTTATTTTAAGAAATTGCCTTAGTCACCCTAACCTACAACCACCACCCTGATGAGTCAGCATTGAGGCAAAACCCTCGACTTGCCAAAAGATTATGACTTGCTAAAGACTTAGATGATGGTTAACATTTTTTTAGCAATAAAATCTTTTAAAAGTAAGGTATATACATTTTTTTACATAACGCTATTGAACACTTACTAGATTATAGTATAGTGTAAACATAACTTTTATATGACTGGGAAATAAAAATTATATGAATTGCTTTATTGCAATAATCGTTTTATTACTGTGGTCTGGAGCTAAAACCACAGTATCTTCAAGGTATGCTTGCCTGTATGATTTTATTGATAATAAACTTTATTATTTAGAATTGTTTCAGACTTACAGAAAAATTACAAAGACAGTGTGAAGATTTCCCATATACCACACACCCTTTTTCCTCTATTATTTATGTCATAATAGTGGGTTGAATAGTGGCCCCAAAAGTCCTGACCCACAGTGCCTATGAATGTGACTTTAATTAGAAATGGAGTCTTTGTAAATGTAATTAAGAATCTTGGGATGAAAGCATCCCGGATTCAGGGTGGGTCCCAAAGCCAATAGGACTTGCAAGAGGAGAACGTCATGTAAACACACAGACACACAGAGAAGAAGGCCAGGTGATGGAGGCACAGGTGGAATGATGCAGCTGCAAGCCAAGACACTTCGAGGATTGCTGGCAACCACCGGAAGTTCTAGAGAGGCGAGGAAGTATTCTTCCTAGAGTCTTTAGAGGGAGCATGGAGCCTCCTACACCTTGATTTTGGACTTCTATTCTCTAGAACAGTGAGAGAACACATTTTTATGGTGTTTTAAGTCACCCAATGTTAAATTGTTTTGGCAGCCATGGAAAACTGATACATTATAGTAGTATGGTATATTTCTTAAAATCAATAAATCAATATTTATATATTGCTAGTACCTAAGGTCCATGCTTCATTCAGATTTCCTTAGTTTTTATATAATGTTAATTTTTTGTTCCAGAATTCCATCCAAAATACCAATTACATTCAGTTGCTATGTCTCCTTAGGCTGTGATAGTTTCTGAGACTTTCTTGTTTTTGATGACCATAACAGTTGTGGGGAGTACTGGTCAAATATTTAGTAGGATGACCCCCAGTGGGAATTTGCCCAATGGGAGAAAGAGCGCTGAGGTAAAGTGCCATTTTATCGCGTCATGCCCAGCTTCATGTTATCAACATCAATTATCAGTGCTGAATTTCACCTTGATCCTCTGCTACGATAGCATTTGCCAGGTTTAGTCATTGTACAGTTTCTCCTTTTCCCCGTTACCATACTGTATTCTTTGGGAAAAAGTCACTGTGTGCAGCTCACATTTAAGGAATGTGAAGTTATGCTCTACCTCCTCCAGGGCCCAGTATATACAAAAATTAATTTAAATTAGTCTGTAGGAGATTTCTCTGTTCTTCAATGTATTTATATATGCAATCATTTATATTGGTATGATGCATGAATATTTATGTTATACTTTGAGTTATAATCCAGTACTATTCATTATTATTTTGCTAAAATTGTTCGAGCTTTGGTCATTGAGAGCTCCTGCAGTTGGCTCCTATGTCCCTTCAACATACCCTATCATTGTAGGAGTTTTAAAAAATCCTTTCTTAATTTCTGACAATATAAGATGCTCTAGGTTCATCTTGTATATTTCCCACCTCCATGGAGTCAGCAATTTCTACAAGAAGCCGTGGTTCCCTTTATTAAAGAATGTAATTAACAACCAAGATCTGGGTATCAGGTGTGCTTATTGCCACGGGGGCTCTGTGCCTTTCAGGCCTTCTCAGTTGACACAGCAAGGAAGTACATGTGTGTATACTAACTCTTGCAAATACACACATTGAAACATATTTCTGTATGTAGCCATACGTGTCTAAAATATGAGTTCATACTGTTGTTTCTAACTCTAATCCATTACCACATGGATCATTCTAGCCTCCTCCCTCGCTTATCTTTAAATTCCCACTCCAACAGTGACAAACCTGGGCCCTACCATTCTCCATACATTTATTTAATGGCTCAATTCCAGTATAGAAGTGTATATGTAGAGATGTATCAGAATTATTAACCCATATTCTTATGGGATGCAACTTTATCAACTCACATACAGTGCCTGTGTAGTTTCTTTTGCTTTTAGTTTTATACTCAATTCCAAGTTACTAAGGTCAGCAACTTCCCCCCTTCCCCCTTCTGTGAGGTTGTTTCCTACATTTATAATACAGTTAGAGTGTTTTGTTACATTCTATATTCTATCCTGGGGTTCCTCTTGATCTCCTACACACTTTTTAAATTTTTTTATACATTAAGTTTTACTCTTTGTGCTGTAAAGTTCAATAGGTTTTGGCAAATGCATAATGTCATGTAGCCACAATTCCAGCATCATACAGGATAGTTTCACCTTCATAAAAATTCCCCTATGCCTGATTAATATTTTTTTGAAAAAAGTTTTTAAAAACATAAATAAATACAGAAACTAAACTAAGGCACACTTGGGGACACGTTATCAAGAATTTATAAATGTTAACATTTTGTTATACTTGTTTTAGATTTTTTTTAAATAAAAGAAACTATAATATTTAAGTCCTCATAAGCTTTCTACTCCCATTTTTTTTTCTTCTTTACCCAGGGGCATTCACTGTTACAGTTGTGGTCTTTCTAGTCCATGACTTTATACTTTACTAGGTGTGTTTGTGACCCTATACAAAAATACTGTAGTTCTGTGTGTTCTATATACACTTATATAAAGACACTGTTTTGTATGCATTCTTTTAAAACTTGCTTATTTTACTGTGAATACCATACTTCTAAGATCCATCTATGGTTTATAATTTTTGTGCTCGAATGGCTTTATTAATGTCTAGTTGTATGAATATACCACTTTTTAGTCATCTGTTTCTCTATTAATGGACACTGAAATTGGGCCTTATGTTTTGCTATTTTATGTGCAGTATGAACATCCTTGTACATATCTCTTTATGCACATGTATAAGAAATCCCTTAGACTATCTAGGTAGGAGTGGAATTGCTGGGTCAAATGGCATACACCTTTGCTGTTTTAGTAGAAGTGGCCAGTTTGCCTCTAGGGTGGTTCTCCCAATTTCCCCACATTTTGGGCACCACTTGGAATTGCCAACTTTACATTTTTACTAATCTGATGGGTATGAAAAGTGTACCCAGACTTTCAGAAGCTGTGGAAGCAATCACCTCAGGTTCTGGGCAACTAGATACAATTTTGATAGAAACTTGTGTTTTCACCCCAGGGACCATGTGTTAGTGTTTAATAACCTTTTATGTTATTTTCAAAGGTGTCTGCTTATCCGGGACTTACGAAGTTGTTTTGGAATCTAAATTCCTCCAAATTCTCTGTTCCCGTATCTGTCATGAAGGAAATGCTATATCCAGAATATGAGGTAATATACTGAATGAATTTTCTCTGTTGTTTAACAATTAAACTGTATAATTGATTATTAGATTATATTTTACTGGACAGTTGTTATGTAAATTGTCAGACAGCTGTTGCCATAATTAAGAATTATTAAATTGTACCATAGAAATGATATATAATACATAATTATATAATGCAGGGTTTGGCAAAAGTAGATTTACAGTTACTCTTATGAAAAAGACAATAATTAATAAATAATACAAGAATAAACTCTGTGTATTCACAACTGTAAAGCTACTTTTGCCCATCCCTGTATACATGCAAACTTATATATCCATAAATATGTGCAGCTGTATACCCATATACTTATATATGACATATAGTTCTAAAAAAGGTTGTACTTTTCCATGTTACTTTAGCCAGTCCAGTTTCCTTTTTAAAAGGATATTTTATTTGACTGTGGTTCTAAGATATAAAACTTCTTGGGTTGTTTAGATCTTCATGGTATTTTCATTTGCTTTTAAAAGTGCATCTTTACTTTACGTAATGTTAAAAAAATTTCACCATTACCTAATATAATTATTAATATTTTTCTTCTAAATAACATTTGCTTTAATTTTATATTATATTATTTAAAAAATTAGAAAAATCAAGAGAAGAAAACCAAAATCATCTACTAGTCTTTTCCCTCAGGACAATTACTGCCCATTTTTTAGTCCATTTCTTTCATTCTTATCATTCTTTGTTGTCCTTCTTTTGTTTCTCCTTTACCCCTTTTTTCTTTTCTTATTTTTTTCCTCTTAAAGTCTGTGATGAACATGGTTGTGTACACATTCTTAATGGCATTTATTTTATTTGCACCACATTTTAGGCAGCTTAGTAAAACATATCAGAAAAGGATAAAACAAAATAGTGAAGGAAATCACAGGGAAAGCATAGCAAGAGCAACAGTGTAATGAAGTCAGAGGTAAGATTAAATCAAAGAAATTCTGCTCGTATCTGTTGCTTGACACGAGGTCATCAGTTTACCTCTTGGCTTCTCTGCAACCAGGGCAGGGATTGGAAGCACACTCATATTTGACCTACTGACACTACATGTTCAGAATGTTAATACTGAAACACCTTTATATTTCTTAGATTCCTTGATCACAGTGTATTATTTTTAAGTAGTATGCTGAATTATGTTAGGCAATAGTTTATTTTTAATATATATTTATGAGTGAGACCTGCATAGAGTTGATATTTTTTCCTTTGTTGAATTCTGCTGTCACGGTTTTTCTTGCTTCATAATGTTAACTGAGTAGCAGTTCATCTTTTTTAATATTTTGGAATTGATATAGATAGCATAGAAATAATCTTGAAAAGTTAGAAGAATTATGTCTGAAGAAGTGATTGACAACTAAAATTTTTTTCTAGTTTGAGGATTATTCGTGTTTAACATTCTTTCTTGAGTCAATTGGTCATGCCATCAATGTATATTCTTACAGAAAACCATCTATTCTATTGAAATTTATGTTGTTTTCAGTTTATATATATTCTCTCAATTTTTATATACTCTCTTCAGTTTTAATTTCCATTTATTTTTAAATTTAATTTATTGGAGTGACATAGGTTAATAGGCTCAAGTAAGTTTCAAGCATACATTTCTATGATACAAGATCTGCATATTGCATTGTATGCCCACCACCCAAAGTCAGATCATCCTCTGTCACCGTACGTTAGGCCCCTTCATCCCCAGTCCTTCGCCCCCTTCCCTCTGGCACTGCTGTCTGTGTCCATGAGTTTCAGTTTTTATCCCACAAATGAGTGAAATCACATGGTTCTTAGCTTTTTCTGCTTGACTTATTTCACTTAACATTTTTAAGCTCCATCCATGTTATTGCAAATGACAGTATTTTGTTTGTTGCATAATTTGTTACCCATTTCTAATGATGTTTTTGAGATTTTTTTTTTATTCACTAGGATAGATTTTCTTAGAAACTAGTTTAATTAATTAATTAATTTATTTATTTTGGTCTTTTCAAATTTGTTTTCACTTGCAAATACTTTAGTCTCTACTTTTTCTTGTCCAACTACTTACTATACTCACAGCAGTATAAAACCATCTCTTTAATTTTTTTTTTTCCAGCAAGAAATATGATGTATGATCACCTAGCTGTTAGATATCTTGGCCAGTCAGCCAGAAAAATATATGAGTTGAAATGGTAACATCTTTGACCAAAGAATTTTGGATTAATTATTAATTCAATTTTTGGTCCTCTGAATTTTTGTTACTTCTCTCTTTAAATTTTTTTTTTTTTTTTTGATTATAGTCTTTCTGCTTTCCATAGAAGGCTGATGTTTCTATTTGGGCATTTCCCTAATTTTTCGCATTGAAAATTTAATTTATCTTTCTTTTTTTAAGTTACTATACATACTTTATGACTTTTCTATGTAAGACTGACATTTTATAAATTTTTATTTATAGTGTATTCATTTATTTTCTAAATAATTTTCTTTGTGGTTTTCGATTTTTTTCTGATACACAACTTATGTGGGAAAGTGTTTTTTATTTTTTAACTTGTTGAAATTATTTTCTTTAAATTTTATTCTTAATCCTTAATGACATAAGGAACTATATTGTTTAGAATTCCAGTTTCTTAGAATTTATGATATTTGCTTTGTGGTGTACCAGATGTCCCAATAATGTCTATTAATTCAGTGATATTTTTTTCATTTAAAAATTTTTTTAAATTGATTTTAGAGAGAGAGGAAGGGAGAGGGAGAGAGAGATAGAAACATTGATGAGAGAGAACATCAATTGGCCCCCTCCTTCATGCCCCTCCACTGGGGATCAGGCCCACAACCTGGGCATGTGCCCTGACCAGGAAACGAACCAGCGACCTCTTGGTGCCTGGGTCAACACTCAACCACTGAGCCACACTGGCTGGGCTAATTCAGTGATATTACATGTGGTGACCATTTTTACAATGTGGGAGTATTAAGCAGAGCACAAGCTTTGTTATCAAACAGTCTTTGTTTTGAATTCCACTTACTTCCTGGGTAACCTTGCACTAGTGGCTTTACCTCTTGTTTTTTTTCTATGTAAAGTGTATGTTCTGAGGATTTAATGGGAAACTGTGTAGCATGTTACCTGATAAATAGCAAGTGTTCAGTTAATAACAGATATAGCTGTTATATTGTTATATTATTCCATTCTTCTGTGGCATACTCCTTTTATTTGATCTAAAAAACACTGGTATTTTTCAGTGCAGTTGTATTTTGGCCATCTCCCCACGTGTTACTAATAGTTTTTACTTTATGTGATTAGAAGCTGTTTTATCTTTATTGAGTTTGGCAATGTTTTTTCTTTATCATGAATTCTCTCTCACCAATTTTAAGTGACGTACTTTGGCTTATTTAATACTAGAATGCTGTTCTAATATGGCCAGCCCTGTGTTCTTTCTGATTTTTGTTCAGGGATATTTTTTATTTTAATCCTTTCTTTGTTGTTTTGTTTTTGTTTTTAGATGAACCATGTAAGTGGTCTTACTAATATTATTTTATTTTGTGGTTTCTGTCTTCTAAAATTTTTCTTTCTATTCTGTCTTTTGTTAAACCACTGTTATTTTCTTTAGCAATATTATTGTCAGAGTGGTAAGGCTTATTCAAATTGCTTAAGAACTTGCACAAATAGTATATAAATGCTTTCTTGTAGAAAAATTTCAAACAATGAAGGGCACTCCCCACCTGGAGGCTGCTCTTCTCCAGTTCTCTTCTCCCTGAAGTTAACCATTGTCAAATGCACTGTGCATACCTTTTCAAACATTTTCATTTATGAAATGCAGGTGTATTCAAATTTTTACATACGTGTAGTCATGTAGTCTATATCGTTCCACATTTTGACTTTTTTCACTTAAAATATATCTTTGCATAAACATATGTGTATTTTTCTGTTTGGGATTTCTGGTCAAATTATATATGTAATTTAAATGTAGGAGGATTTTTATGTATATTTTCTTTCTTCTTCTTTTTAATGTAGTCTAAACTTTTCGTTTACTTAAGGAAAAAAATTTTTGTGGGGGAAAGATGCTATGAACTAAAAAGAGGTTAATAGCTAGCATAAAGTATATAAAAAGATTGCCTTAATGTAAAAGATTGGGGAATATTAGTTTACATAAGTAGTATGGCATCCACAAAAGTGTGACGCTCATGTTTCCTTCAAGAGAATCTGTTGGGAGGAGGAGCATACTTGACCACCAGCCTCCAGCTGCAGTCCTATACATGTACGATGGCATCCATCCCAAGGCCCTTCTTAAACTCTGGGCTGCTCCCAGTCAGTGACTGACCACAAGGGGCTTGCTAAAGCTGACCTATTGCAGCTTAATGTGAGGTTGTTTTTAATAGGTATCTTTGGCTCAGGGACTTTCTGCCTGCCTAGATAAATCTTTCTCAAAACTGCTCGGTAATCTGAATCTCTTCTTACCTAATTCTTCCCCTTTCTTCCCTTTTCACAGCTGCCAGACCTGCATCATGTCTACTTCTCCCTCTCTTTTTATCCTCCACTGGTGGGATCTGCTTCTAATTGAACTGATCCTCTAGGGAAGTCTGTCATAGTGCAGTACTTTCCAAATTATATGTTTATAAAGCATGGCCATGTATTTTTCTGTCTTTGTATATAGAAAATGTTACTTTAGGAAATTGAGAGTAGGAAGAATTGTCTGAATTGAAGTAGGAATTTTATCAAGAATAAGAACGATTGGTTAGAACAGGCAGTGATGGAACACCCATTAGAAAGGTGGTCCAAACGTCAGTGAAGTACTGGTGGTTGAAAGAGCATTGAAAAGGATTTTCTGGTACAAAAAAAAAAAGATGGCCCAGGACACTTTTCATGTATCAGAACTGGAATCAGACCTTTGAATGGGAATTGGCATTTAGATGCAAAGGTTTGGATGGCCCATTTTTTTGAAGTGCAAAGTTAACCTGTTTATATGTATGATTACTGATTTTTTTTTTTGTTTTATCATACCATTAGTTTGTTTGATT